TATATATATATATATATATATATATATATACACAAAGTATATATATAATGGGCAGTTCAATTGTGTTCGATAGAAAGCAAGACATACACAAAAACCATTAGTTTTCTTGTAAAGGTTTTAGGAATAGGTCAATTCTCTGATATCATACTCTCTTAGAGATTTTCTATTTCGCCCTACCATTAAACAACCATTCCCTTGGACTGTCAAGTATTGCCTACAGCTGTTTCCACTATCATTATCTGACACCCCATGTTTTTCAGCATTCAACCAAGATTTAACAGGGAGCCTATTTAGATAAACCTGTCACTGTAGTGGCTCTGCAAATGTCTTGTTATAAGTCCAGCATTATTCTTTTTGCAATGGAACAGCTTGTGGGACAAAGTCTACCCACTCTCCATCCACATGCATGCCTAGCCAAGTTTTTTTTTTCCATTACAAAAATATTACTGTAATATAAAACATGGGAAAAATGTATAAAACATAGGACAATGCCGGTAAAACGTATATATTTATTCATGAGACATACATGTTGCATGAGTATACTTTAAGGGTCTGTAAAATTGTCCAATCATTAAAATGGACTGCACTTATATACTGTAGTACCTTTCTATCTGATCAAGGTACTCGTTTTTTTGAATTATTTTAGTTTCAACAAAGAATCCCCTATACTAAATTCTACTCTATGAAGTTTTCAACAAAACGAATAGGAAATGAGCCGGGCCAACTGAAAACAATGAGAGGTTGAAGAAAAGAGGCAACAAATGTGCAAGAAGGAGCAAACTTACACACACTTCTAGATATGACTTCACTGATACGCTTATTGCAGTTTAGGAGGTTGAAGAGATGTTCCAGAGCTCTCAATGGTGGTCTGGGGGTTAACCCTGTCACATCACAACCATAAAGTTTCTAGCTTGGATCTCATCTGGGACTTTTATTTATTTATTTCTTTTGTGACATTTGCAGGTTTTACCAGAATGTGTTGTTAACTCTGGATAATCTAGCTGACCATCTCAGTGCAAAGCATGCTTGTTAGGTTAATTGATCCTTCCAAAGTGGCCCTAAGTGTCAGTGAAAGTATGCATGGGTGTTTGTTTTGATTGTTACTGCATTGACCCAAGAATAAAATGGTGACCTGACCTGTGCAATGTTTGCTCCACCTCTTGCTTGGTAGAACCAGCTCCCTACAACCCTGAACAGGATTAAGTTTGTAGAAAATGAGTATGGGAGAGCTTACATTGGATGGAATAACAGACAGTCAGTATTACCATCTGCTCCCAACCATTCTGTACAGTTATGCTTCATCTTATCATATCCATAAGCAAAAATAAAATGATTTATTATTGAATGTTTTGATATTATTCATATTCATTAGCATTTTTTTAATTAAAAAAAAATTGCTTGTACTTGATATACAAAGTATATATATATATATATATATATATATATATAT